AGGATATGGGGGCTGGTGAGTTTGCAGGGGAGGTTGGTTGTTCCATGTGGGGGAATAGTCAATCCAGCGGTGGGGGAAAGGAAAGACTAAAAATAGCCTACCTGGGGCTGGGGGGTGCAGGGTACAGAGAAAGAGGACAGCTTCAGGGCTGTTGTTACAGGTAGTAAACTTAACGTGAGCATTAAATGTAGATGTGCCCCCTGATGGACAAGTATAAAATGTGAGAGAAAGAATAGTTTTAATGTTTTTTATGGAATCCTAATATATTTTTTACTTAAATGGATTCACTTTCAAATTTATTTGTCATAACTATACAGAATATTAAAATAACATAATCTGATTTCTACAACAAGCAGCCTGAACTAGACACTTATTCCACTTAAGTTTAACAACCTATGTTGTACTAATTGCATATTGAATATATAGGAAAATATTACCCTTCATCACATGTGTATTCAACACGAGCACCTAATACAAATTCAGTCCCCGAAGTAAATTCAAAGAAGCCAAACTGAATATCTCCAGGGTGGCCACAGGACGTGACTGGAAAAAAAATGGGAAACATAGTAGCACTTAACTTTTATCTAGCAATGCGAAGGGTGGTGTTTTGACTCTCTGATATAAACTTTATCTATGTAATGTGGTAATTTTTCAGAAGTTTTCAGTATTCACTCAGTACTTTTGAAAAATGCCACCATTATAGACGTAGGCTGCTTTCAGACATTAAAAAACAAACAAAAACATCACTTTAAACTTGGCGTGCTGCCACACCGTGCCTAGCACATGCCCAGAAGAGGCATCACATTAATAGGACCAAAGTTGCATGACATCCATAAAGATTAGGCACTGGGAGGAGGGGGGTGGGGGTGGAGTTGGCACTTTTATCTAATAGCTGACCAAATCATCTATTAGATAAAAGCACCAAAAAGTGCTACTGAAGTACCGGATCTATACAGACACTGCAGAGCCAGGTTGAAGTAACACACTACTTCTTCCAGGAAAGTGCTAAATCAGTGGAAAGTTAAGTGGCACTCAAGTTAGAACATGTTCTGAGCAGTCACACAGTAACATTTACTACAATCTCTGACCTGCTCTGACTTGCTGCTAGAGGGCCAGTGAGCAACCTGGAGTGCCTTCTTTTTTTTTTTTTTGCACATTTACAATGCATATTTCAGCAGATCTCCTGCTCAGACCTCCACTCCCTGCTTGGCATCTAGCCACACTCTGGAGTGCAAAGCTCTGGGCATGTGCTGCAGCTAGAGTATGGGGAGGAGTGCACACATGTACCTAGCACCCTCCCCACACTGTCACTGACTATTTGGTGGCAGTTTCTGGGCAGGAAGAAGTGGGGAGGATGGGCAGGTGGCGGCCAGTCTCCACAGTAGCCCATGCTGGCATGAAGCTGGGGCCATTGCCTGTGATCAGGTGGGGGAGGGTAAGTGAAGACTTACTCCTCTGTGACTGTAGCTGCCCTTTCCATGGCAATCACCACCCTTCCCAAAAAAGAACGTTCATGACTCCACAGCAGTAGCCAGGAAGGGCTTGCTTAACTCCTTGTAGCCAGCAAAGGCTGGTTGACTCCTTGGCAGATGGGTGGAGACTTCAATTTGGAGGGCCAATTCCTGGACCTTCTCCTTGCCTGGACCTGTGCCAATTCCTAGGAACTGGCAGTCCAAAGCCACAGAAATCTGCCGAAGATTTTGCAGCAGCTCCTATGACTGGTAAAGCTTGTGGCCACAGGCAGAAATCCAGCTTTTGGTGGGGTACCACCCATGGTGACAAAAATAGCTAGTGTTCTGAAAAATGACATGCTGAAAGATGATAGCGTTCCCTGCTGACAAATCCCTCTTCTCCTGGGACCCACAGAGGAACATACATGACTGACACTGACCATACCAGCAGTGCCTTTGTTGGGGGCAGAAATACAGGGCCTCATATAAACATAAATAAAATCCTATGATTATGCATCTTTGCATGCAAAGTCATCTTGGGGATTGGACACTACTCTTCTGTACGCAGGTGGGGGTGTTGGCTTGGTGCTGAAACCGCCCTTTGGGCAGTAGAGTTCAGGTGGATGGATAGATCACCCACAGAGCAGGAGGCGGGGGGGGAGGAGCTGGGAGTGGTGCATCCTGAGATGGAGAAGGACACAAATTGCTAGTATTATCTCCATGGAGCAGACTGGTTTTAGATTTGTTGTGTAACACAATCTGGAGATGCTCCTGACTGAAGAGGCATAAGTTTGCAACACTATGAGTGTACTTGGCATGTGTTTTCCTGCTTGAATGCACAAATCTTCACATTCTTAGTACAGTTAAGACATGCAAAGTATAATACGTGAAAGGGTCTTCATTGTTACTACCCCATTCATTCCAACTACCAGTCTCTGAACTTCCTGTGTCTCAGCCCTGGAACTGTTCTACTGGGCCCCCTTTGTCAGTCTGAATAAAGTCATCAGCTTACAAGGGTGGAAGCCTTCTCTTTGCTTCTGCTTTCTCATGTCCTATTCTGTTTATAGTGCTATTTTAATCCTAAGTCTGCAGTTAAGATTGTGTTGAAAATCCTGGCACAGATATTATGCTCCCCTCAGACTTTTCACAGGAAGTAGCTATATGAGCAAGTTTATCATTACAGGTGTTCTCAAATTCCAGCAGTGAGCAAAACAACAAAAAGAAGAAGAACAAATAATCCACCAAAAACTTTAAAAGCATCTAAATCCATAGTCAAGCCATGCACAGGAGGTGGTAAATTGTCTCATCTCCATTCTGCAGAGAAATGGGCACAGCAAAGCTAAAATACTCGAACTTGTCCAATTAATTCTGGGTGAAGAGGATGATATAATTGGGGCTGGTCCTGCTTGGAGCAGGGGCTTGGACTAGACGTTGCCTCCTGAG